TGTGTTAATATATGTTAATATATAAATACTTAACGAACATTTATGTCATAATGAATAATAATGAAGGTTGTTGAAAGTATTAGATTTTTTAAAACTTTTAATTTGTGTTTGTTGCTTAGGTGGATCAAGGAACTCTCTTTGAATTGATTTTGGCAGCTAATTATCTTGATATAAAAGGTCTTTTGGATGTTACATGCAAAACTGTTGCCAATATGATCAAAGGCAAGACACCAGAAGAAATACGCAAAACATTCAATATCAAGAATGATTTTACAGCTTCTGAAGAAGAGCAAGTGCGTAAGGAGAATGAATGGTGCGAGGAAAAATAAATAGAATTGCGATTTTTTACAGTCGCTGATAATTTTTGAATGTTAAATAATTCATTGCGTTACTAGATGTCGGACTTAATCGGAGCTCCATTACTTTAAGAAATTTTTGTGTGAAATTTTTTTTGAAAACGGATAAAATCCTAATTAATTATAGTCAAAATCACTGTATGAACGTATATCACGTAGGTCCATTGTTATTTATTTCAATTAAATAAAGATAGAATAATTGTGAATTACTTTATGGAATATACTTACACATATTTCACTCTTAAAATTTAATAGAATTCTTGGACATTACCGATAATGTCCAAGGACAACATTTGAATCTCTGTGAAAGCTTCTAGCATACGACTTTAGACAACGCTGATGATTTTATATAGTGTAATATTATAAATTTATATTTTAGAACATATTATATACACGTGTGTTTAACGATATTAAAAATAAACTTAAAAGTAATTATTTATACTTTTAATTATTTACTTTCTATTGCATCTTTGAAATCCTTAAAAAACTAACTAAATTTTAAATATAAATATAAAAATCTTGCCAATATTAAATTTTGCAAATCGATTCTTGTAATTTTCGCATTTATATGTAACTTGTAAAATTACAAGTTGAGAACCCATGATTTCTAATGTCAAAATATAATCTGCAATGGGCTCAATTTAAACAAATGTTTAGTCTTATTCGTGTTATTAAAAAAAACTTTATCAATTGTTAGAGGAATACATTTTTGAAATGTAATGCTAATGGGTACGTTAAATCTGTACTATGAGTCAATAAATAAATTAGTATATTAATATCAGCAACTATATACGTAATAATTATATAGATTTGTATTTGTAATATAAATCAACATTTATTTCTAAATGTATAGAAGTACAGTATTTAAACAATGTATTCATTAAGTTATTCACGTTTTTTTAGTTAATTGTAACGATTATTGTTAATTTGTTAAAGATTAAACACAAAATGATAGAAGCAGTCCCAAACTTTACACAATAAATGCAATTGACTTTATCTTGATAAACCAGCTACAGAATATCATGATTTGGAAAATGTTAAAATTATAAGTTACAGAAAACTAAAAGCAGCAAAGGAAATAGTTTCTAATAATTTCAAATATATATGTTCCGAATTTATTGGTATTGACTATTGATATTTTGGAGTACTATGAGTGTGCTTTCTATAACGCTTGGGTAAAGTATGATTCTAATCAGATATATTTAATTGGATAATTTATTGTTCTGGGTGTTTGTTGAATGGTGAATTTATATTTTGATAGAATATAGATCTATCCTTTCTTAGAATTTTTCATATATATAAATTATAAAATACTCCAAGATTTTTATAAGATATCTCATTCTATTATATTTGAAAAAATATCTTAACTTTTCAGATTTTATAAGTTTTTAGCATAAATTATAGGATAAGAAATCTTATAGAAATCTTAGAATATTTCAGAATTCATATATGAAGAATTATAAAAAAGATATAGACTTTCTCAGTATTTCTGAAAAATGTTTCTATTTGTGTAAAGAATTTAAGAAATTTTCTAAAAAAATTATAAAATTATTCAGAATTTCTGAAAAATTCTGAAAAATTACATGAAAAATTCCGAGAAAAATTTTAAGAGTATGTAAATGTAAATTATACATAATTATATATACATATCTTTATTATGCGCAATTTGTAACTGTAGCACGTACTATAAAGCAATTTTATTTATCGACAACGTTGAAAAATTGCTTTTTCTTTATGTATGTATGTATTAAGTTTATTTCTGGAACAATTATACATAGTTGCTTATTTTATTATAACGTCGCAAATAAACTAAAAAAAGACATTTTTACTTTCATGTGTTAAATTGAGTACGGCAACAGAACTCTCGCCGCTACGATCTGTATTTGAAAATTCTTAAGGTAAGTACATATATATTATTAGCATTGTTCGTTTTGCCTCTCAGGAGCTGCTCGCTCCGAATAAACCCAGCGTACTTAAAATATAAGATTCACACTACGTACGACATCCATCATACAACATCTGACATTCATTGTTACGATGAATGTCGGACATAGTGAGAATCCTACATTTCATTAGATGTAAAATAAGAATAGAAAGACTGAAAAGCGCAGAAAGCGTCGAAATCAATCGCAGCTTTCATCTTTCTTCTACGTTTCCAGGTTTTCGCTTTAGATCCGGTAGCCTATCATCAATAACTATCTCTTTATATTTTTTGTTATATCTCG